ACCGCGAGATTGTTTGATTCAGTTTTCTTTTTGAATAAAACTGAATGATGGGGTTATTTGCACATTCGAATAACCGAACATTCGAAAATCGGATTTATCCTATTATTCACACATATTCACATTCACAAACAAATATTCAAGGTCATGCCCATTATTTGAAGACTCGAATATTCGGATATTAAGGATCTCCGCTGTTCATATATTAAGATTCTTGAATGGCTTCACCTTTTGGTGCCGTCATTAGAGCTTGGGAGACCGCTCAATTCACAAGTAGCAAAGCTTAATTTGAGTCTAAACAATCGAAAAGGCAGTCATAGCATGCATAGGTAAAGTTGGTAGATCGAAAGACAAAGACTTGCTTAGTCAAAAAGCTAAAAATCCCGTGCAAAGGTACTGCCAGTTCTCGTAAGAAACTGTTTAGAAATATCAATTCAGCTGGACTTGAGAGCAGCCAAAACAAAATCCAACAAAGGTTGAAATTGTCGGTTAACAAAAAGAGGAGCAAATATGAACATGACCATAAAAACGTGGTAGCAGAAATGGATGAAAACCATATATTACATTTCTGGCAAGAAAAATGAATTTTTCTCAAAACTGGTACAATTCGCGCTGTGACGTTAGCAAAAAGATAAAATTAAATAAGAACATCGTGAGAGGGAGAGAAAGCCACAAAAACTAGAAAGCTCACCATAAACACAATATTGGCTGCGAAAATCCCGTATTTCAACCATGGCAGACAATTCCCTTCTTTTGAAAGTGAAACACTGAATTGAGAACAAAGCTATGAAGTTTTTCGAGATCGAGACATAGCACCTACAAAAGATACTCACTTATCCGTTTGTGTACAATAATCATCATTCATGTGACTTCGCCCATACACAGAAGAGTAAACTCGACGATCTGCATCTGATCGATGAATTGCATAGCGTGGGTCAGCACGAGATCCCATAGGGGGATACCAGGCCTGAATCTATGTGGAAGCAAGTCGTCGTTGTCAGGGTTTGCTGAACGCGACGCGACCGCGTCTCGTCAGCGATCAGCTGCGCCCCGTTGCTGGCATTCAGATGATGAACGCAGATGGGTTAAGTGAAGGGAGGGTTTGACGAAATTTTTTCAGACGTGCCCTATGGTCAAAATTGAGGAACACACTAATTCTTCTAGTTACTGAAGTCGTTTATTCAGATGTTGGATTTTCTTGGTAAGATGCTTTTGCAACTCCAAGATCTCGTTGCTAACTATCTTTCCTCTTGGCTAGCTTTTTTTCCTTCTTCAAAATTCAATCTAGTACAGTTTTTGACTTCACGCTTGGTGCTGACGATATATCTTATCTGAGCC